CGGCAACCTTGGCTCTAACCAACTGAGCTAACTGGCTACCCCTTAAGCATGTATTTTCTTTTTCTTTTTTTTTTTTAAGATTTTTTATTGGGGAATTGGGGGATGGGAACAGCGCTGGGGAATTGGAAGGGGAAAAGACAAGTTGCTGTCCTTTTGTTTTAATTGTGGAGGACGTTGCTTCACTGGCCCAAGTTAGCACCATCATTGCGCTTTTCCCGGGAGAGGCAGATCAGTCGCCGGCTTCTGGACGGCCGCTCACCGCGGCTGCTGGCCGCTCACGCTGGCTGCTGGCTACACACAGCCCACGGCAACCCACTGCAGCAGGGGCTGCAGCCTATGCCATCAACTGCGACTCAGGACAGCCCAGCTCCAGGTTGAGCTGCTGTTCAGCTTCTTAGCTGTAGAGGGAAGTGTCACTGGCCCTCATATGTGGGATTAGAACCGGGGCCCTCTGGCATCCCAAGCCAGCTCTTAACCAACGTGCCACTTGGCCAGTCCAGCATGTATTTTAATAAGCATGAGTTTTTATTGAGATGAAGTCCAATTTATCAATTTTTTCATGGTTAGTGCTTTTGGTCCTGTTTAAGAAATCTTGCCTACCCCAACAATATCTTCACGATTTTTCTCCAATGTTTTCTTCTAGAAGCTTTATAATTTTAGCTTTCACGTTTAGATCTATGATCTATCTAGATTCTTGTATATGGTAAAAATCAAGGTTTTGGTGGGATTTTCCTGTATAAATATTCACTTGCTCCATTAAAAACCTCACTCTCTCCATTGAATTGCTTTGGTGCCTTGGTTGAAAATCAAGTGACTGTATTTGTGTGGATCTATTTCTGGGCTCTGTTCTCTGTTCCATTGATCTATATGTCTGTCCTTATGCCAGTATCACACTGTTTTAGTTAATATAGTTTAATCATAAGTCTTAAAAATGTAGTAGTCTAAATCCTTCAACTTTATTTTTCTTTAAGATTATCTTGACTGTTCTAGGTCCTATGCATTTACATGTGAATTTTAGAGTCAACTTATGAATTTCTAAACAACAAAATTCCTGCTGGATTTTTTATTGAGGTTGTTCTCAATTCAAAAATTAATTTAGGACAAATTGACATCCTTCTAATATTCAGTCTTCCTAGCCTTAAAAATAATATATCTATCTAGTTAGGCTTTCTAAAAAAATATGTCTTTTAATAACGTATTAGTTTTCTTCATACAAATCTTGCTAATCTTTATTAGATTTATTTCTAGGTACCTTATAGTTTTTGTTGCTATTATAAATGCTTTCTTATATGTAAATTATACTTTATAATTATTTTTGGTTTATTGAAACGGAATTGAATTAGTCATTCATCTTGCTAAGTTCTTTTTTTTTTTAGTTATAACGCCTTATCTGTGGATATTTTTTTGTTTGTTTTTGTAAGTAGACAATTATGTTATCTTTAAATGAGCTTTGTTTCTTCTTTTCCAATATTTATTCCTTTCATTTCTTGTTGTTGCCCAACTGTGCTGGCTAAGGGCTCTATCACAAGACTGAACAGAAATAGTGATAATGGGTATCCTTTGTCTTGTTTCTGATTTTAGTGTATGTCTTCTGTTTCACTACTGAAATTAATTTTTGGCTGTAAGTTTTTGAAAACTACTCTCGATCAGGTTAAGGAAGATTCCGTCTACTCCTGACGACCAAGGCTTTGATTTTACAATGAATGGGTGTTGAATTTTACCCGATGCTTTTATGCTTTTTCTGAAATGGCTGTTTTTCTCCTTTAATATGTTATTGAGGTAAATTACATTTAAAGATTTTTCTCATGTTAAACTGCCCTTGTATCCTTAGGGTGAATCCAACTTTGTCATGATGGATTATTTCTTTATACATTGGTGGATTTCATCTTGTGGTATCAACGATCTATTGCTGTGTGACAAATCAGCCCTGAACTTAGTGGTCTAAAACATGAACTGTTTTGTTGTTGTTGTTGTTGTTGCTTCACAGTCTGTGGATGGGTAATCTGGGCTGAGTTCAGCTGGGTGTTCTTCCGTTGGTCTCACTCGTGTGACCGTAGTTATCAAGGATGACCATGCTCACGTCAGCTCTGATGCCGTGCTTCTTACCATGTGACCTCTCCAGGAGTCTCAAGCTTGTTCTCATGGAAATAGCATTTCAAGTGGGCAAGAGTGGAAGCTTTTAAGGTTTCTTGAGGCTCAAAAATCACATGTCACTCCTGCCACGTTCTGTTCATCAAGAGTAAGTCACAGTCCTGCCCACATTCACAGAGTGAAGAAATAAGACGTTTTCTTGATGGGAGGAGCTGCAAATAATTTGTGGCCGTTTAAAATCTGCTACAGTTTGCTAATATTTTGTTTGGGATTTTTGCACTTCTGTTCATAAGAGAGACTGACCCATAATTTTCCCATTGTCATAGTGTCTGTGTGTAGTCAAGGATCCAGGTTCTACTCGCCTTATAGAAAGGGTTGGAGAGTTTTTGTTTTTGATCACTGGAAGAGTCTGGAAGTAGAAAACTTCAGCGATCTATGAGTATTCCTTGAAAGATCTCTCCCTTGCCTGTGAAACTGTTTTGGCCTGGTGTGTATTGTTTTGTTTATAGAAAGATTAACTACTGATTCCATTTCTTTAATAGGACCATTCAGGCTTTCTATTTCTTCTAGATTCAGTTTTGGTAAGTTACATATAAGCATATATGTTTTAAAGAATTTGTCTTGTTTGCGTTTTCAAAGCTGCTGGCATTAAGCTGTAGGTAGTATTCTCTTCTCTTTCTAATTACTGCCCTTTTTGTAGTAAGCTCCATTGTACTTATATGTGTGCCTTCTTTCTCTTTATTACTCTTATCAGAGGTTTGTCAGTTTTACTTGCCAGTTCTTAAAAAACAACTCTGGCTTTATTCTCCCTATGTTAACTGTTTACAACTTCATTGATTTCTACTTTTACCTTTATGATATCCTTTGGGTTTGTTTTGTTGTTCTTTTTCTAACCTTTTAAAAGTTGGCATAGTTCATTAATTTTCTGCTTAAAAAAGTTTCCAGTATAAGCATTTTAAGGCTATGAGTTGCCCTTAAAATACCACTTTGACCATCTCCCACAAGCTTTATTATGTAGTATGTTCATTATTGTTGTTATAAACTAACTTTAGATTTCCATTATGATTTCTCTGACCAGTAAGTTTATTTAGAAGGGTTTTTTAACGTTTCCAAATCTATAGAGATTAAAAAAAAAACTTAAAACGTTTTTGAAATATTGCATACAGAAAAGCATATAAAACTGACATGTACAACGTAATGAATGATTAGGAAGCAAACACACATATAACCACCCCAGGTAAAAAAAAAAAAATAGTATCACCCAAATCCAGAAGCTCCTTGTATCCCTCCCCTTTCACAACCCTCTCTCTCTGGGCTGAGGTGACCACTTTATTAAATTCTGAGATCAGCTTTCCTTGTAGATTTGCCACCTTTGTATGATGCATCTCTCGACAATATCATTTAGTTTTCCCTGTTTTTAGAGTTGCGGGTTTTTTTTTTTTTTAGCTGAGCCATCCTGCTACCTGTTGGCAGCTCTGCGGCTGCTCAGCTCGGGCTGGGACTTGAACCGCTGTTGCTCAGAGCTCAAACTCTTGAGCGAGCTCTTAACCAACTGAGCCACTCGGCCGGCCCTTAGTTTTCCCTGTTTTTAACTTTGTATGACTATAATCATACAGCCCATAAATCTTTTGTGTCGTGCTTCATGCGCTCAGCACTATGTTTGGGAGATTCATCCATGTTGTTGGGCGAGCGGTGGTTGGTTCGTTTTTATTGTTGGATCGCATTTCGATGCAGAAATACAGATTCTTTAACGATGGAGAGGAACTCCATCAGTTGTTTCCTATGATCTCTGTGACACAAATTATTTGAAATTGTTAAAATTTGCCTTATGACCTGATATGTGGCCAGTTTTTGTAAATGCTCCATGTTGGCTTGAAAAAAACAAGTTATTTTCTAATGGTTGGGTGTGCGGTTTATAAATATTTTTACTCCTTATTGTCTTAAACTCAGACAACCTCAGGTGGTTTTTTTTTCATTAGTCACCTGGCCTCTGTAGGTCGAGTTTATCACCTCTCGGAAATCTTTTCAGGGCAAATCACTTCTAAGGCATTCTCTATGTTAAGGAAGCCTGAGGTTGAATTGCAGCAGAGTGGTGACTGGTAAATAGCAGGAGGAACTCCCCAACTATTTCAAGTGGAATGCCCTAGATATGGGCTGTGGAGAGGGGTGGAAGGCCTGAGGCCCTGAAGACCAGCCACGTTGCAGGAAAGTTAAGATCATGGGGGTTGGGGAAGAGGGCTGAAGCTGACCTTTGTGTGAGAATTCTTGACATGGTTCTAGGGTCAGGGTTCCTGTCATCCGTCTGCTGGCCCTTTGGACCATTTGGCCACTGGTATGCTTCCCAAGTCTGTATCCATGAGTGGCATCAACTGCTTCTTGGGTGACTCAGATCCAGCTGGTAAGTCAAAATGGGGCATGGAGCAGTCGTGGCCCCTCCCCGTGTCTGTCTCACCACCCCTCCTCAGAGCCAGGTATTAGGGCTCAGATATCCTGGGTTCCGTCTAATCACAATTTAGAACCCCCAAAACGCCTTTATTCGAATGAGAGATCTGAATTCAGGGCTCCGGCATTCTGGCACTTTCCTTCCTGTGAAGGAGCTTCCTCTGTCCCCAGAGATGGAGGACAGTTACCTGCAATGCACCTTGTCCTCGAGGGCAGTGTGACACCTCTGCCCTTCCCATCCACCAGAAACAGGACTGGGACATGGGGCCCCAGCACCCTTCTCCATGTAACCCTGGCTTCCAAGGCCTTCAGCTGATCAGATCCCGCCTTCCCTCCCACTCCCCAGAGCCCGCCCTCAGGAATGGCGTCACAGGCACCTGCAGCTTGGGAACCTGATCCAGGTGGAGGGGGTGGGGGAGGCAGCCCTGGACGCCTTTGTCTGGCTTCAGCTGGACACTTCTCGTCTCCTTTTGTGTTGGCAGGAAATTTATCCCAGTTCTTTGCTGCGGACCTCAGCCAAAGGTGAGTTGGGGGATTCGGAGCCCTTCAAAGGCCTAGGTGGGGGAGGGGCAGTGGGCCTGGGCCATGGGTTTTGCAGCCCTGCAGGCCTCTGCTTCCTAAAACTATTGCTGCCCTTAACATTTCTGATCAAGGACCTCCAAATATCCTTCTCTCTGAGCTGCAAAGAATTCACTCTCTTCTCATTGGCCTGGGAAGGCTGGGGAAGGTTCCTGGTAGCCCCATGGGATGGGGAAGAAACCAAGGAAAGGAAAGTCACGTCCAGGCGCTGGGGTGTCAGTTGAATAAGAGAGTGGGGGTTGCTTGCTGTTGTCAGTGCCAGAAAGGTGAGCAGGCAGACGGGCTGTGGGGCAGTCCCAGGGAGAGACGGTGACAAGGAGCATGGGTGGACTTTGGGAGGCTCAGGTAATGGGGAGTGGCTCTAAGGGGAGCTGGGCAAGGGCTGCAGACCCCCAGGGGCAGAGGGCAGGGGCTGAAGGCAGAATTCAGCCCTGGGGTGGAGGCCAGGCGACTTCCCTAACGCTGTAAACAGGCATGAAAATCAGCACCTGTTTATTTGGCGTTCCAGCCGGCCAGCCCTCTGAGACGACAGCGTGGGTGTGAGAGCCAGTAACGGGCCCTTTAAGATATCAGGCTCTGATTTGTGGTCCTGAAAATCTCTAGCTGACACATCCTCCTGGCTCTGGGTTTGGGATTAGCTCATGGGATGGGGCTGATGAAATCCCAGGAAATTCAGTCCTGATTGGCTTTAGGCCCAGAGGCCCAGTCCAAGCCACAGAGAGAGAGAGAGGGTCCTACTGACACAAGGGCTCTTGTTTGGTGAGGGGAAAATGCCCCTCCACCCCGAGAGCCCCCACCCCATATCACTTCCGTTGGGAGCAGCCTGAGAGAGGAGATTGGGCCTGGATTAAGTAGGAAGGGGTAGTCTGCACTTATCTGGGAGGAGCTTGGAATTTTCCTCATAAATAGAGGGGCCTGGGAACCCGGTGTCCACATCCAGGAGGTCCTAGGAGGTGGGTGCTGGGGGTACCTCTCTCTCTTCCTCACCTTTTCTCTCAGTCTTTTCGCTCGTATGTCCACTCTCTCTCCCCTGGTCATGGCACCGTCGCCGCCATCTCTGTGAGTGTCTTCACCTCTCCCTTCTCTCTCTGCAGCTGTAGCCAGCTGGAACGGAGCTCAGGGACCTGGGCCGGCTCCTCCCTGCGACGGACCCTCAGTTTCATCTTCAGCATGACTGGAAAGACCAAGGTAGGAGTCAGACTGGGGAGCAGGCGGCCTGGGGCCCACTGCCTCCGTGCCCCCTTTCTCCCCATCCCATCGTGCTTCCCCTGCCCCAGCTTCTCCTGTAGATGGATACTCAGGGCAGTGTTCAGGTTTTAAGGGAACGCGCGCCGTCTCTCCCAGCCTCCCTCCCTGTAGCTCAGTAAATCACCTTTCTCTGCTTTCCCCATTCCTGCAGCTTTAGCAGCCAGCTGTGGACAGCTGGAAGAGACGGCCAGGAGCCTCAGCAGCCGTGGAGTGGCCTAGCCCTCCCGCTTTAGGCCTCACATAGCTAAGAGGTGGGCAGCAGAAATCGTAACCATTGGGCTTAAGAACAGTAACGATGACAGCGATACTTTTTATTTCTTGCAAAGTGCCTGTGAACTCACGATGGTATGGGTGGGTGCGGCAGTCGCAGGAGTTGAAATCAGACACCAGGCAGAGTGGCAGCCAGGAGAGTAGATGGTAGATGGTTCTGGAAGCTGCACACCGTCATCTGGGGCCATGTGCAGTGCTGACCCTGGGCAGGGGAGCACGCTGCTCTCTCTGTTGCCACCCGGGGGGCTTGGCTGAAGCCAGGAGCCCTACTGCTGCTGAATTCCTTTCCACTTTCTTCATCTACTGGCAGAGTGAGCCCCCCCTTTCCTCTCGTGCATGTACTCCTGAGCATGAGGCACACCTCATGAAGGCAGCAGCATATTCACCTGGAAGAACCACAGGAGTTACCCAGGAAGGTTGCCAGGCTCCTGTGGCCCCACCCACGGTGCCAGGGCTCTGTCCTCTGCCAGCCTCTTAGCCAAGAGTCCCCTTCCTCTGGGGGGGCAGGGAAGGCACAGATAAAACCAGGTTGTGAGCACCTTCTTACCACAGGCCAAGGTGGGGAGTTGAGGCCTGAGACCACGCAGTTTGAGAAGGGGAGGGACGGCTGGAGAATTCTAGAGCTGTGGGCGGGAGAGGGCCGGGGCGGTGAGGCCTCTCCGCAACCATGGGGGAGCAGAGCTCTCTACAGAACAAAGCCAACACCAGGCCCTGGGGTGAGTCCCGTCCCCCACGGCTCTGGCTCTCTCACTCAGTTCAGGGTGGGAGTCTGCTGGCAGAGCCGCCCCCTTTTCCTGCGGTGGGAATGGCTGGGGAGTCAGTCCTGCCCAGGGGCCGTGCAGAGCCCAACTGGTCTGCATTTGCCCACCCTGGCCTCACAGTCTGGCGAGGGGTTGAGAAGCCGGCTGAAGGGGAATGTGGGCACAGCCAGGCATCAGGAAAGAGCAAGTCAGGACACTGTCCCACGCCTCACCCGGTTGCCAGGGTCTGTCCTCCTGTTTCCCTGTCATCTCCTGGTCCATCTTCCTTCTACCCTCATGACTCTCTCTGGGTGTGTGTGTGTGTGTGTGTGTGTGTGTGTGAGTGTGCTGCGCACCTGCCTCACCAGATTTCTTCTTCCTGGTCCTCCCCGCCCCAGGTGGGAGCCTTAAACAGGTAAACACCAGGGGGAGGGGCTAGCAAGGAGCTCAGTCAAGCAGTGAGAGAAAGAAGTGGCTTATTTCTTCATATTTGATCAGCATGGTAGGGTTGACAAAACACTTTTCCAGAGGTCATGTCGTTCACTCTTTTTTTTTTTTAATTGGGGAACAGTGTGTTTTTCCAGGACCCATCAGCTCCAAGTCAAGTAGTTGTTTCAATCTAGTTGTGGAGGGTGCAGCTCAGTGGTCCATGCGAGGATCGAACCGGCAACCTTGGTGTTATGAGCACTGCGCTCTAACCAACTGCGCTAACCGGCCGCCCCTCGTTCATTCTTATAACTGTCTGGCAGAGATGGTGTTTTAATCTCCATTTTTCAGACACGGTAACTTAGAGGCTCAGTTCCTTGCCCGAGATCCCACAGTTAGTAAGAGGTGGAGCTGGACTACAAACCCAGAGCTTCAGCTCTGTGACGCTGCCTGTGCCTGGCAGTGAACCTAATGAAACAGCTTATCTTGTCTCCCCCCCATCTTCTGATGGCTGGCCACTGGAGTCAGTGATGTCTCAATCGCCCCCTCCCAGAATGCACAAGGTCCCGAGCAAGAAGGAAAGCAAGCTTCCTCCTGGGTTCTGGAGTACGTGGGCCCAGGTCCCCTGTGGCTCTGTGTTCACCCACTGGCCACGACTCTGACAACCAGGCTCTGCCCTGGGACGGCCTTCTCACCCCTGAAATGTGGCAAACACATCTGTCAAGTCAAATGAGCCAGAGAAGGTGGTGCCTACTTTTAGATTCTGGCAGACATTCGGTTGGCTTTTGGTTTTGTGTGCCTAAACAAAGGGTTTCTGCGTATCTGGGCGGGTTCCCCTGGATAGGAGTAGAGGGGGCTGGGGTGAACCGGTTTGGAAGAAGGAGCAGGAGAGGCCAAGGAGAAAGGAAAAGGGCCTGTTGTTCCAGAGGATACAGAAAATAGAAATTAAGTTGAGCTGCAGGCTTAGCTCACTAAAAGCCCAGGTGCTTTTAGGGGTTAGACCCGTTTGTTCCCTTTAACCCAGCTCCCAGGCCCCCTTTCTGGAAGAGGAAGAAGAACATAGGGTGACTAACAGCAGGTGGGATGGAAACTCGGCCAAAGCCTGGTGAGAGACAGGACGGGGTTGGAGAGTTGGGTTTTTTTCTTTTATAGACACCTTCTAAGTTGAGTTTGGGAACTGAGAGACCCCTCAAAAGACCTTAGGATCCAGGGTACTCAGTCTGGAGTTTGGCCCTTTAAGATTCTATTCTTAGCTTGCAGCACCCCCTCACTCCAGGCCTGGGAGAAAAGCTGAGGTCCCAGCCCACCCCTTGTCTCTCGGCCCCCAGTGGGCGGAGCCTTGAGGTCAGGGTTCTGGCTTCTGGCTGCTGTTTTTAAATTTAGTGCATGCCTCAGCCTTGGCGCCCACTGTGGGGAGGTGAGTCTGAGGTTCTGAGCCCAGGAGCCTCTAGACTGCTAGCTTAGGGGAGTTCCCGGGGCCTTGCCCTACCGTGTTCTCAGCAGGTGCACCCGGGGAGGAACCAGCTCTCCTCATGCCTAAAAGTCCTTTCTGCCTTCCCCTTTCCTCTCCTTTTGTCTGGCCTTTGCTATATAAGGATCCTAACGGGAAATGGTGAAGGAGGTGAAGAAAGAGTTGCTAGGCAGGAGGGGAGGTCAGAGGAGAGGTGTGGGGGTGGTGCTGGGGGGTGCGCAGCCCAACCAGCTTAGCCAGTGGTGAGGCAGTGGAGCCCAAAATAGTGGCAGAGGCTAAAATTGGCATCTGCAAGAGCGCTGAGTTGGGCTGGAAACCTGCAGCCTGGCTCTGGGGCCCTGTGGGGCCCTCCCACCTTCTCCTATACCTTTTGGGACCAGGATTCCGCAGGACTCTACAATCGGGGATGCTTTGTCTAGGGCACTCCGTGCTTCCGGTTTCTCAGGGGAAACGGGGGACCCTAGGAGGCAGAACTGAGCTGCAGCGTGAATAGCCATAGTTAGGGTGGAGGAGGAATTTTCCCAATTGCAGGAAACTCACCAAAGGTGGAGGCTGCCTCAGGGCTGGAGCAAAGGGTTCAGAAAGCATGCACCCCACCCGCCTTCTTGTGGAGAGACTGGCCATACTCCAACCGCCCCTGACTGAGGCAGGCCTGCCTTTTGGTTCAGGCCCAACTTGCAACAGGGAGAACTGGAGTTAGACACAAGGAAGGACTTCCTCAGCTTAGCTTTCAGGAAAGGTGGCAATTCCTCTCCAGCGGAGCTAGGAGGGGAGGAGAATGGACCTAGGGCCGTCTGGAAGGCCCCAGAGGGGTGGGGGCTTGCGGCAGAATTCTCTCCTCTCCCCATCAGTCTTGGACCTCTGTTAGTAAAGCCTCGCCATGCCTTCCAAAGATCCCCTTTGACTTCCCGCCCTCTCCCCCACCCCTGCCCCCAATCCTAAAAGTGGTCTGTCGGCTGGGCCTGCTTTGATGGGCTGGCGGGCCAGGAAGGAACTGCTGCGGGTTCCCTGGAGAGCTGGGGGCGGATGGGGGAAGGGAGACCAGGGCTGGGGCGAGGGCTGTGGGTCTGGGAAGGGGTGGCTTTTAGGAAGACCAGAGCTCAGAGGCTGGTCTCGGGGGCCAGAGGACGCCCCGGGTCCTGGAGGGGAAACAGGCCGGGAGCCCTCAACCTGTCTGGGGACGTCCGCACTTCTCGGAGCTGCCCCTGCCCGGCTGAGCCGCGCTGTTGGTCCCCGCGGGCACCCGCCCTGCTCTGCCCCGCCTTCCCCTTCCTGCGCCCGGGCGGGGGGTGGAGACTCCGGTTTGAGGAACTGGCGCGGGTGCCGGGCGAGGGGAGTCCGACTTCCTGTCCCCAGACCTCGCGTGCCTTCCCGGCCCCCGCCTCCCCCACAATAGCTGGGCACCTGGGTCCCGCCGTGACCCCCGGACTCCCCCCCATCGGGGGATTATGTCTCGGATTGAATCCCTCACGCGGGCGCGGATCGACCGGAGCAAAGAGCTGGTGAGCAAGGTGGGCTCCGCAGCCCCTCTCCTCCGCGCGTCCTCAGGGTGCCCGCCCTTCGACCCTGGCCCGCGGCGCACACCCGTCTCGCCGCCGGCTTGCTGGGCGCCAAAATCGGGCGGAGCGTCGGCGGGCCAGCGGCGGCCGGGTGGGTGGGGACTGCCAGTGAGTGGGGACGGGTGGGGGGCAGTCGACGCGACCCGCGCGCTCCAGCTCCGCGCCGCCTCGGTGCCCGGTCCCGGGAGGGAGCGGCCCTGGCCTCGGTGGCCTCAGATCCGGCGGCACTGGGTGTTTGGGGCCCCACGAAAGAAAGTTGCGCGCTGCTCGGGTAAGGGACAGAGCCAGTGGGAGGGGTGTCTATCGGGGTGGGGGGCGGCGAGAGCTCCGCGGCACCCCCTCCGCCCGGGTCCCACCGGCTTGCTCTCCTCCGTCCCCCCACCCCGCAGTCGCGGGCTTGGTTGTTCCCCCTTTGTCCCCGCCATCCGGCAGACGGGACGGGAGGGGGTGGGTTCTCGGCTTCCTCCCACGGCCACCCCTCCGAGACAAAAGTCAGCGCCTCCTCTCCTTGCAAATGGACTTTCCAGCTGTGATTCAGTTCTCCCCTCGGGTGGGTGGGTGGCTGGGGTCAGGACGGCCGGGGCATGGCTTACTTCCCCCCAAGCGGCTCCTTCAGGTGCCGGGAACAGAGGTCTTTGTGTAGCTGGGATCCTTTCCTCCATCCTTAGGGACCCTGAGCATCCCTGTTCCTGTAACGCAGGGTCCCCCGACCCCGGTCTGCCCCACCAGCTTCCCAAGTCCTTGTTCTCACAACCTGAAACAACCTGAAACCCTTCGGCTGACCCACTGGGCACCGTGCCCCCTCTCCCTCCTCCGTCTCCCCCAGCTGCCTTATCTCTTCTTCTGGGGATCTGTTCACCTACCCTTTCAAGCGCCTGGGCATAGAATTATCCTCACCCCCCTACCCCCATCATGACCTCTTGGCCACTCCTTGCCAAGTATCCTTTACCCCATCTTTGTACCCGGGCCCACTCCCAAAGGCCATGACCTCTACACCCAGACCCCAGGAAGTGATGAGCTGACTTTGGGTGAATAAGTGAGAGCTGGGAGGAAGGCAGTGCAGGCAGACAGGCATCTCCCCGCCCCGCCACTCAGGGCACCCACACCCCTGCCATTCTCAGGAAGGCCAGGATGCGGCCGGCCCCCAGCTGGTTTAACGTCTGGCTTCTGTCGGACCCGGGACCCCGGCCTGTGCACATCACTGTCACCACCTTTAGGCAAGAGCGGTACCCTTTTGGAGCCCTCAAGGGTGGGGGACACCTTCCCACCCGCTCCTAGCTCCTAGCCTGCCTGCTTACCTGTCTTGAGGCTAACTTGGAAAAGGTTCCGTCCTGGAACTTTCCCTTAGGGGGCTGGGATAAGATCCCGCTAACCGGAAATCAACTGGGGATTTGAGTCGAGCCTCAGACAAACCGAGAGAGGTGGCTGAAGCGTGGAGCAGCGGGGTGGCCGGAGGCCCCTCTCAGCCCCTGCGCCAGGCCAGGCCCTGGCTCTGAGAGGCTGTTTATTTTTCAACCGTTGGAGCTGAGACCCTGGAGTATTGCCAAGGGGGGTGGAGAGCTTTTCTGAAACCACGGAAATTTGGTTCCACCCTAAAAAGGAAAGCCATGGTGGAGCCTGTGGGGGGCAGACCTGGAGAGTGGGGGTGTAGAGGAGGGTTCTGGGAGGATAGATACCGGGGGCCCTTTTTTTATTATTGGGAGGAGCTGGGCGGCTGGATACCTGGGTCCCCACGCCCTGTGGTTTTGGTTAGTGGGGACCTGGGGAACCAGAAGCTTGGCTCTTCCTATCCTGAGGCCGGCCATGGTGGGGGTAGGTGGAACTCTGGCCCGGGGTGAGGTGTTAGGGGGCCGGAGGTGGATTCAAGAAAACTAAGAGGCCACTGGAGGAAGGTGGTTGTCAGTTTGGGCTGGTCGGAAAGGGAGGGCCACCTCCGGAAAGCTGTGGTTACAGAAGGGGGAGCTGGTGCTTAGCCAACAAGCCCTGGATCCCCTCTTTCCCCTCCCCCCCCAAACACACCAGCTGTCTCCTTTCTTTTTATACTGTGGTGGGAAGTAGAGGGGGGCCCGCGGGAAATGAGATTATTTGAAGAAGACGGTCTCCCCTGCTACCTATTAGGGGGCATGTCAGCTAAGCCCTGACACCCCCTTCCTTGCCTCATGCCCCGGGACCTCCTTGGGACCTCCTTGTAGACGGAGAGATTGGAGTGGAACCTGCCCTTTTCTCCTTGCCACCCTCGCTGAGCCTTTCTGTGTGGCTCCCTCCCCGTGCTGTTTTCTTTTCACTCCATTTCTCCCCTCTCAGGCTGTCTGCAGCCCTGCACCCCCTCAGTTCTCGCTGCTCCACTTTCTACCTGCACAGGCCCCAAGCCTCATAGGTCCCCTTTCTCTCTCAGCCCCCTGTCCTCCGCCACCTCCTCCCTGCCATCTCCAACCTTCAGGCATCTCAGAACAAAGGGTCTTTTCCTGCCTAGGAGCAAGCGGGGGCCAGAGATCCAGCAACGCCTGTGGAGGCCTGGGGGTCCCCTTGGACTCTCGAGGACCCCAGCATGGGAGTGTGGTGGGCAGGTGGAGTGAGGAGAGAGGAGAGAGACTTTCTTTGTCCTGAGAGGTGGCTGGCTTTGTGTGCAGGAAGAGGAGTGGAGGGCTGGGTGAGCCCAGGAGGGAGCTGAGAGGGGCAGCAGCTTTAGGGGAAAGTAGAGGTGGCACGGGGGGGGGGCTCCCCAGAAAGCTGAGTCTTTGGGGGGGGCATAGGAAAAGATTCTGTGGGTCATGGAGGTTAGGGAAATTGCTGAGGGGAAGGGGAGAAGCGAGGGTGGGGGAAGGGAACAGAAAGCTTAGGGAAGTCACTGAGTGACTGCGGGGCTGGAGGTGCCTGGAGCTGACTAAGGATTTAAAAGGGTCTGTTTCCGGTCCCTCTGGCTTCCCTGGAACCCTGACTTTGGAATCAGGGAGGGGCCGGGTCTGAGCGAATGAGTCCCATGCCTGCATGGGACCCCCATGTTGGGGTGTCTGTCTGTCTATCCATCCGTCCGTCCATCTGTCCCCAGATGCTCTGGGTACTCTTTTGAGCGGTGGTCCTCACAGTAGGAGGCTCGTGCTTCGGACACGAAGGAGCAGTGCCAGCCTTAGCTTCAGTGTTTGGTGTGAAGTGTCCTCCAGGAGCCCGACTTTGTAGACGGGTCAGGGTTCCCGGAGCTGGTAAGAGAAGTGGCTGAGAGGAGCTGGCTGGGCCCTTCTGGGTTTGTTTATGTCTCTTTGGGGGAAGGGGGCCCTGCAGGCAGCAGCTGCCCCCACTCCCAGCTCCGCCGGCCTGCCCTGTGCCAGGAGGGCAGGGAGTCCTGGCACAGCTATTGTTCACTTGTACAAATGCCCGTCTGTCTGCACCACCCCGCCCCACTTCTGGTCCCCCTCTCCTGACCTGACAGGTGTGGCTGGGTGGGGGGCAGGCTGGGCTCCAGGATGCCTGGGTCTCGGAGTCTCTAGCCTGATTTTATCCCCTGTGGCCCCACGCGCCCCTCCTCTGCTTCACCGGTATGCCCTCCCCCATTGTCCAGTGTCTCATCCTCATTCATCAAGCAGGCATGTATGAAGTGTCTTTGTGTGCTCAGCGAGGCCTGTTTGTGTAACGTGTGTGGCTTTGGCCTTCGTGTGTCAGTCGGCCGCCTTTATCTCGTCCCTGGAAAACCATCAAGGAGCAGAGCCTGGCGGGGACCATGCCAAGTCCTCCTGGCCCCACAGCCAGGACCCTGTCTCATTTCCCAGCTCTGTAGCTCATCCCTGTGACTCAGTGCCCTTCGCAGCCTATGACTGCACCGTGGCTGGCCGGGGCTAAGCCACAGATGACTGGCGTCCTGGTGGAGCCCCGCAGGGCCTTCTGCCCACCACACGAGGGCCTGGACAGAGCCTCCCCATACTGGGGAAGGGGATGCCGGAGCAGAGGTGAACCTGAGGGCCACGTGACCCCAGGGCTCTCGGCTAGGACACTCCCAATGGAGGATCAGGGACAGCTGAGGGCTTAGGGGGCTTAGGCCTTGCCTGGAGAGGCTCTGCCACCCCCTGCTGCCCGCTGGGAGCACAGGAGGCCACGGTCCAGCTTTGGTCTTGCTTTGTCCTTCATGTCCATCACTGGTTTCCTCGTCTCAGCCTTGGAGGCAAAGTGCAGAGAAGGGGGCAGACTGCCTCTGCCTTTGAGCGTTTGGGGCGCCAGCCCCAATGTCCTCTGCCATTCACCCCATCTTCCTTTCCCCAAAAGTAACTAAGATCTGGGGTGACAATCAAAGGAAGGTTTGGGCTGGCCACCCTCTGGCCTCCAGAGGAAACCCTGAGATTCTGAGCTCAAAGGAAGGAGGACTAGAGAAAAGGGGACACGAGGAGAGGACACGGAAGGCTCAGAGTGTGTCGAGGAACGAGGACCCCGTGTTGGCGTCCGTCCGTCCGTCCGTCCATCCATCCGTCCATCCATCCACCGCCCGCTTCCCTCCTTGCTTCCTTTCTTTCCTGCATGTCCAAACATGTATTGAGTGCGTGTTGTGCTGGGTGCCTTTACTCGCGTCATCCTTGGAGTCGCAGTGGTACAGGTGAGGGCTGTGTAGCAAGAAAGACTTCCCAGGAGGCTTCACGAGAAAGAAGGACTCTAGACGCTGAACCAAGCGGGAAGGGCCTCTGAGTGTCAGTGGTGGGTGTTGGGGATTGTGGGGCAGTGGGCCCTTTTCTTGGCCAACAGATTGGGGCGTGGAGGGGAAGGGCTCTCCTGCTGGTGGGTGGGTAGGTGGGAGACCAATGTGATTATCTTAAGAACACCTGGAAGAGAGTAGGACAAAGAACCGAGCAAGCCCATTCATTCCTCGTCAGCAGCGGCCATCCCTGGTGAGCAGGCCCTTCCATCTTCACCAGCCCGAGCTGAGCCCTGGGGCGGGCTATAGGCTGTCTCTGGGACAATAGTGCTAGGCAGTGCCAGGACCGCTTGCTGCTGGGCAGTGCCCATGTTGGGATGTGCTGTTGCTGTTGCTGCTGCCCGCTGCTGGCCCACTTAGAGAGGGGGTTGCTTGGAGAGAGGGTGAGTGTTGGAGGTGGAGGAGGCTGGGCCCAGAGCACCTGGGTTGCCTGTGGGGCATCGATGCCAGAGAGGGAGGGCCACTAGAGACCCCATTCCCTGTCAGCCCCAGTCCTCTCCCTCCCTTGCCCACCTTCTTCCCAGGTGCACGACCCTGGAGGCCTAAAGGTGGAGGGCAGAGGCCTGGTGAGGGGAGCAGGCCTGCACGGCACTAGGGCAGGTCTGCAGCACTGCCCATCGTGGAGTTGACCTTGACTCAGACGTGTTGCTCTTTTTAATGACATGCATGTTTTTGCTTGCTTGCTTTTAATTCAAATGTAGTGAGTGCTCAGGCTATTCGTCTGTGTCATAGAGAAGGCTGGGAGGGAGAACAGGAAGGGGGAGAGAAGGGCGTGGTGAGAAGACATAGTTGAACTTGGTCTTTGAGGGCCTATAAGGTTGTTATTCAGGATTTGATCTTCTAAAGAGAGCTACAATTTGGAGCAAGATAGATGGAGGGTAGACCCAAGGGAGGGCTTTTTAGTGATCCAGATAGGTGGGGACCAGAGTAGAGAAAGGGAGGCCTGGATCGATGGAGGCTGGAATTAGAGGCAGGTCAGCCTTCTTAACCAGGCCGAGGCGGGGGGGGGGGGGGGGGGGCAGGGCAGGGAGAAGCCAACAAGGGCACCGGAGGAGAAGCCAGGGTGGGAGAGGGTGAGAAAGGGGAGGCTAGGGGAGGTGGGTCGAGGAGGGCGGCCAGGAGAGGAAGAGAAGGAAGAGGAGCAGAGAGGAGAGGAGCAAAGAAAAAGGCATGTTCTGGATGGGGAGTGACCGTGAGACCTCTGGGCTCTGCTCCTCAGACAGACCTGGAGCCTCTGAGGGGAGGCAGGAGAGAGAAGGATCCCGGAACTGGGACTGGCGGGGCCACTGCAGCGGCCCTGTGCCCTCTGGCCCTGTGGTGTTGACTCAGCCCCTGCACACTTCCCTTTTCGGCCCTAAACACCAGTGTGGCCCGGCCCCTCCCCCACCTCTTACTGCTAGCGTGGCTCTGGGCCTCTAAGGGCCAGCCTAAGGGCTCTCCCTTGAGTTCTAATTCTCTGTCCCAGGCCCCCCTCCCATTGTCCTCCAACTTGGGGCTCATACCCTCGGCCTCAGCCGACTGATCCAATCCGCTCGTTGGTTCTGAGAGGCTGGGGATCCTTGGAGGCTGGTCTTGTCAGCTTCTATTTCTACTCTCCGCTCTCCAGGGGGAGACCCTGGAAGGATGCTCTCCCATCTCACTTTGTCAGGCGCTGGGGAAGCTCTGAGGCTGGAGGGACAGAAAAGAGGTCAGGAGAGTGACGACCTGCAGAGGTCAGGAGACAGCAGGAGAGAGCTGAGATGGGACCCGCCAGCCTCGCCTTGGAGGCTCTGAGGAAGGGCACAGGGTGCCCCGTCGTGACGGAGACTAGAACTGACGAGAACTGACGGGAGGGTAGATGCCAGAGGGACTTCCTAGGACGGGACAGACTATTTGGATGAGGAGGGACAGAGGGAATTACCGTAGGTTTCGGAGGGTTGTACCGGAGAGATAAAAGTTAGGCCGCAGGAAAGACTCCCTGCCAGGAGTGAGGCCTGGCCACCTGGGTTCCCTTCCCGAAAGGGCCCA